AGAGGTAGAACTAGAAGCCCAGAGAGGTCGGGACTTGCCCGGCGATGGGAAGCTGGCTAGCAGCGCCAGCAGGAAGAAGTCAGAACATTCTCTGGGCACAGAGAGTGAGGGCACCAGACTGACATTTCCCACATCTCTCTACCTCTGACTAAGGTTTGTTCCAGAGCCTGAGAAGGAATGGAAGCCACAGGGGAGGGAACCCCATGGACCCGCTCTGAGAAGGCCACCAGGAATCCGGAAAACCCTGAGAGAGGCAGGGGGCTGGGGAACCCCAGCGGATATGAGCCCCCTCTGGCTAAAGTAGCAGGATGAAGAGAGCAGGGCAGGCGCCAGACTTCAGATAGCCACTATCATCGTGAAAACCCTACTCGCTGGGCAAGACGCCTGGCGCGGGGAGAGCCCCTCACGGAGGACGACACCAGGCAGCCGCGCCTTCCGGCAAGAAGCTCCCAAAGAGCCTGCCGAGAACGTGGGTGGAGCGGTCTTAGGCTGCTTTGTAAAGCTGTGCAAATTGTAACCTTTGCATCTGGTTGTCGGAAGCACCATGTTGCATTTTTTCTGTTTTCTGTGCAAAAACGACTTTCCTGACAGCCTGATATCTGTCGGAAGTAAAAGGGTGGGGGAGGCCGGGGTGGGTGGGTGACCCGAGTCCACCATCAGTGGTAACTTTTGGGCTGGGTAGTGGCCTTGCCAGGCGTCCGTACTATATGAAAGTGAAGAAAATGCCTAAGAGAAAGCTGTAGGCTCGAGGAGCGTGTCGCAGCATTGGGGAGCTCCATTCGGCGCATGGGGTGATGGCTCTGCCATGTGATCCTAGGCCTCGAGCCGCATACGATGTTGTGAATCCGTGTTCGCTAGCCCAATAAAAATGAAAAGATAAAGTCATTTCACAAAAGGAAATGGGTTTAATCTAGTTTAAAAAGAAAGAGCGGAGGCCTCCCTGGCGGCGCAAGGGCTTAAAGTGCAGCTTTATGAAGCTGTCCACAGCCACTGCAGCACGAGTTCCATCCCTGGCCAGGGAGTGACCCACAGGGCGCCGCAGACTGCTTCTGTCCCCCCGCTTCTCCCCTCAGCAGTGTGTTTAGTAGATCTGCCTGTTCTGCTCCCCACTCTGTCTCTGGTGAATCCTCTCACCCCACTGCACCTCTGGCCTGCACCACAGTTTTTGTATGCATAAGTAAATAAATAATTTTTTAAATAGTAAAATAAAAATAAAGAAAGGGAATCAGTCCCTTTTGAGAACAGATGCATGGAAAATATCAAAACTAACATCATTTCAGTCCGAATAGTGACAAGTTCCACCTCCCAACTCAGACTGAGACTATCTGTGGAAGGATCTTGATTCATTCTGACACTATCTATCAAAGAACATGTGAAAGCATCTTAAAGATCTATCAAAAGAAGGGTAATTTCAACCTGAGGCCACACTCATCCCCTTCCATCCACTCGATTCCTAAGCGCCGCATGCGGGATTTATGAGCCGCTGAGGAGGACACTGAAGCAGGGCTTCAGGTGGGCGCTAGTCCCAGGCCACGGTGCAATCGCAGGCTGAGGCTGAGGAGAGGAAAGGCAGCGAGGCCCAGCAGGGCTTCCCAGAGAAGGGCGCATGGGGGAAAACAGGAGCCTGGGTGGTTAACTAGGTGGAAGGGAGGCAGCAGGAAGAGCTGTCCAGGCAGGAAGGTGGGTCCCAGGACAGAAAGGTGCAATCACAGCCAAGGACCCAGCGCAGGTAGGCAGGGCGAGAGGGTGCCGCAGAGGTGAGCAGAGACAGGTATGGAGGAGAGGGAGGCTGGGGGTTCAAGTCTTCACCCAAAGAGCCATGTAAGAAGGGCTTTAAGTGGGAAAGTCACTACGTGGGTGGGCACTGGGAAGTGATCATCATGATACGTGAGGCCGGGGGGACGGGACAACTGATCTGGTGAGAGGCAGGGCTCACTTTGGCAAGGTCACTGCTGTGGCCACTCGGTCAAGGTGGACGGAGAAACGGCAGGAGGTCGTCATGCAGTGAGACAAGGGTAGAGGCAGCCAGCCTGCGCTGGTAGTGGGCTGAAGGGAGGGTGGGGAGCTGAGAAGTCTTCCAGTGGTGAAATGGAAAACCTCGGGGGGGAGACTGATGTGATCAGGGAGGGAGAGGGAGCCCCAGGAAGACTAGCTTCCACCTGGCTGATGGAAGAGGGAGCCCCGGAGGCTGAGTTGTGTGGGCTGGACAGGTGAGCCCAGTTTGGGAAGGACTGAGCTCAGGGGACCTGGCACATCTAAATGGAGATGCCAAGGGCAGTCTGACCTAGAGATACAAATTTAGGAGACATACTATGAATGTGGCACAGAACAAAATGCAATATACATGGGGCGTGGACTGACACGGAAAGATGTCTGTGGCTGGCTGGTAAATATACACCGAGTAAAAGCAAGTTACAGAGCAGAGTGTATAATGGAATCATTTTTAAAAAACAAGCAAGTATTTCATCATCCAATGTTGGGTCTTAATTCTTCCAATGAGCACTTGATCACCCCAACTTCCACCTCCCTCCTTCTCCAGCACCATCTCCCGCCTCATGCTGAATCCCCACCCAGTGACAGAGTTGCTGGTTAAGATGGGAAAGGAACAATGATGTCGGTTTTGCACATTATTTCATGATTTGAAAAAAAAAAAAAGAAGTAATTTAGTGCTTCCTTTTAACCTCTCTCTCAAAAAAAAAAAAAATTGTATGAAAATTTCGCTGGTAACATGCCATCCCTGGCTTCTGAGAGTTTTTCCTACAGTTGGCCAAGCAGTAAGTCAGTTAGGGATTGCCAGAGCTCAGATCTGTGAACAATGTACTGCCTGTTCCTGGGTCACTCGTGCTGCTCCGAACATTTGAGTCTCCCATAATATCCGCTATAATTGTAAAGAGTAAAAGAAATAGTAAAGACCCGCCCCATTGAGGAAAACCATGCACCAAGAACCCGGGCCATTGAGCACACATGAACAGAAGGAAATTAGCAGAAATGGGAAGATTCGATGGTTGACATAACCACTTGAGTCTACAATTTCTGAAGTTACTGAGCATCATCACCCACGATAGCCAAGACCATGCTCAAGTACACATTCACACATTTGTTTTTTTGAAGCACCCAGAGCTCTATTTGGCCATGACTATAATTATCCCAGTGCAAAATTGGTGGAATGCTAAGATAAACACACCCCAGAAAGCCAGGGACATGGCGTTTAAGCCCTCGTGGACTGTCCTTCCCAATTATAGGAGTAGGGACCGACAAAATCACTTGTGGTGTTCAAGCCCCTTGTCCGGGAGCTGGAGAGAGCACAGCTAAGCGCCCTGAGTCCCTCAGTTTGTGGGCCCTACAGAGGCAAGCAGGCTCTGAGAAGCATACCAGTCGGGCAGACACAGGTGAAATTGCTTCCCTCTTGCTTTTCGCGGGTGTCCACGCAGCGGGCGTTGTTCTGACATGGCTTCTGCTGGCAGGCGTCAAACTCTTCACAGAAGGTCCCCACATACGGGTCCTCACAGACACAGGAAAAAGTGGCCTAAAACACAAACAGCCAGGTGTGTCACTTGCATCCTCAGAATGTGAATCCCAAGTTCAAACACGCCCCTCCTTTTATAAGACACCCACACTGAGGATTTTCATCGCAGCATTCATGTCATGACCTGATTGCAGTGGTTTTAAAAGAAATTGGATTTCTTTACAGCTTAATTTCCAACATCAAGTGTCTCTGTGGTGCAATGGGTTTGCATGTCCTGTTAACTAATTCCGAACATTTATTTTATTGCAACTCATCTCCTCAATCTGCCCCACCCCAGCACCAACATCACTTCCTCCTGAAAGAGAGGCTGGTCCTTGTTTTCATCAATAATGCTGTGTCCCTCAGTTCTTTCGTCTACAGCCCTTCTGGATAAATCAATTTCTGCACGGTCAGGTTGCTCTGTAGCTGCTGTTGACGAGACACGGTCCTTGCCCCATCGTGCAGGTCGGGGATTACTACCCACACAGAAAATGCCAGGCTGATGTTCCTGGTCTTCACACTGAACTCTCGTGACAGATGAGCTAGTTTTCTTGGGTTTTCCTAATAGAGCAGGAGTCCCCACCCCCTAAAAGTGCACAGCAAGGGCAAACAAAGGCAAGCTGCTTCCCTTCTCTTTGCCCTCAAGGTCACCCCGAGGCTCAGAATAAATCCGACTTCAAAGGGAGGTTGGTAGAATTTACAATTCCCTAGAGGCTTGTTCAGCTTCTAAGAAAAACAACTCACTTTGTTCCTTAAAAGTGATCTATTTTTATCTTTAACTTTTCCACGTGTGAACCAAATGTCTGCCTGTCCTAGTGCGGACAGCAACTGAGATTCCAGGAGGAAAAGC